TAATCGTCTTAAATAGTTTTTTTATTGACTCATATTGAATACCTTCAAAGGTTGAAACTTATAATATACGATATGTCGATATTGTTTTAATTACAGCCTATAYACAAATTTATCTAAATATTTGCGATTTCATTGTATCATATTTTGAGCGGAGCAATGGACGAATAGGTTTTACAATCATGTGTTATAATATTTATTTTAAATTAATTTTAAGCTATACCTATTTATACCAATTATACCATGAACCTATTCACACTGGTCCATGGTACGTATAGGTGTTAATAGCAGTTAGTAATATTATAATATAAAATAATATTGTTATAAAAATATAACTACTTAATAGGCAATATAAACTGGTTGTTTTTGGAAAATATATGTTGAACCTAGTTTATTATAACCTCATTGATGGAATTGGTATATCCGCCCTATATGTTTGAAACAATATTAAATTAGGTATATTTGAATAAATTCAGGTCAGGTCAGTCAAGCCATGGTCTGACCTGATATTGACTGGATAAAATTCTGACTTAAATAAAATTTAAAACATATTATTTATTATMGTTATAGTTTTTTTTTCCATATTTATCATTTGGCCTGTCCAAATAAAAAATCGTCTAGTTTTACTTATGTATAAAAGTTATACTTATAAATATATAATAACATATTCTTAGAAAATTAGGCTTAGACAGACGCCGCTCTGAACAGTTTTTCGTGTACAATAATTATTATCGTAGTCTCGTTGAATTCAAATTCGACACATTCATGGCACTTACACAGTTACATTGACCTATCAATCTTTCATGTAATACTCAACGAAACCTATGGAACAGATGGAGATTGACCCTCAATTTCTTATGGTTATGTACTTTGTACTAAATGTAGAAATGAAATACGTCCTACCACTACGTGTCGAAACGGTAACGATAATAAATGAWACTTWGCAAGTGGCAACTGTGGCGTCTGGCAAGTGCAAGTGTGRAGTGAGTGCAACAGATGTTCGCTCCTATCACTTCTAAAGTTCTAAGTCCTCATTATCATGGTGTGCTGTACATGATACTAAAATTCAGATGGCGTGCAACACGTGTTTTCTGTTTACACACAAGATTGTCTGGTTATCAGACTATCAGAGTGGGTACGAACTGTGATGAAATGAAGTTGGTGAAATGTATTATTTATTAATATAATTATTATGTAACGGATTTCGCACGGGCACGGTCCTGAGTCCACAGTCGATGGAATTTTTATAGTGGACGCAACAGTGAAATGTGCCTAATGAAAGTAACACGTCACCAGTATTTTACGTACGCTATAGGATAGTTGGCAGTCTTAACAGAGGTAGCTTATTTAACTTAATGGTTATTTCAATGCGAATACGATCGTCGAACGTCTTTATATATTTTTTTTCTGATTGTAAGTCAATATTGAACTTAAACGTATCAACATGAACAAGTGGATCGAGAACGCCGTAGAACTAGAATCGAACATTCAGTCGTATCCAAATCCAGGAACCAAAGTTTTTCAATACGGCACGTCGGGCATTCGTTATAAGTGAGTTTGGTGATGGTGATAGGTGATCACTTAATGTACCTATTCACCCTTGTATTGGGGACTAAATACTTTCTATTTTCAGTTCTGAACACCTGGACCATGTTCATCATCGGATGGGCATGTTGGTGGCTTTGCGCTCAATACATTTGAAATCGGCGGCAGTCGGGCTAATGATAACAGCCTCGCACAATCCACAAGAGGATAATGGCATAAAACTCATTGACCCTCAAGGAGAAATGTTGGATAGCTCGTGGGAAKTGTATGCTACTGAATTGGCTAATGCCTCCAACAACCAGGATGTATGTGCCATGCTCATAAATATTGCTTTAAAGTATAATATTGACAAAACATATATACCTCGTGTGTACATCGGTCGTGATACTAGGTAAGTGGCTTCTCTTTAACACTCTTTTATGTCTTACATATTTATTTTTACAATAATTATATTTTATATGTTTATGTTTTTAGAAATTCTGGTAAAAGATTATTGGAAGCTGTGCTTTGCGGTGTTAAAGCTTTTAAAAGTAATGTTGAAGATTTTGGCATAATAACAACACCAATGTTACATTTTTTTGTTAGATGTTATAACACCAATTGCCTATACGGTCAGCCGAATGAACATTCTTATTATACTAAATTAACAAATAGTTTTAAAACTTTGCGTAAAATGGCAAGTAACTTACATACTTAATTAATTGGTGAAATTATTGCTGTCATTATCAATATAATATATCTGCCTTAGTGTTTAGATTTGAAAAATTATAGCCCTATAATAGAATTTGATGGTGCTAATGGGGTAGGTGCTTTAAAAATGAAAGATGCAGTTATATATTTAGAGGAAACACTAATGATTAATATGCATAATGATGACATATTGAATACAGTAAAACTAAATTACAAAGTATGGTTATATTTATTATCTTAAGTAAAATAAAATAAATAATTTTCATTTTTATTTATTTAAGTGCGGTGCAGACTATGTGAAGTCAAACCAATGTCCTCCTACTGGGATGACTATTAAACCATACTCTAAATATGTGTCTGTGGATGGAGATGCGGATAGAATAGTTTATTCTTTTGTTGATGAAAACAACAAATTTTATTTATTAGATGGTGATCGAATTGCTACACTTGGTATTACAATAAAWTTTTTTTGAAATTATATTCTATTTTGTTATTCGCTTATTTTATTTTTCCATAGTGGCTGGTTATATAAAAGATTTATTCATCGCTTCTGGTCTTGATGTCAATGTAGGATTGGTTCAAACTGCTTATTCAAATGGAAACTCTACAAAATATGTAACTGATAAGTTGGTATGTATTTTTTTCTTGTGTATTTATTTATTCATTAAAAATTTATAGATAACATAATGTATTATAGTATTATAAAAAAAATATTATTCTAACAGTTTTTAATTYGTAAAGTGTAGAGCAATTTGTCATTAATTTATGTCTTTGTATTATAGAAAGTACCAGTTGCATGTGTTCCGACTGGTGTGAAACATCTTCATCATAAAGCTAATGACTATGATGTTGGCATTTATTTCGAAGCTAATGGTCATGGTACTATATTATTCAAGGATGATATTCGTGAGCTTATTCGAAATCAATCTGCTATTGAAAAAAATGAGTATGTTATTCATAATATTTTATTTAAAATAATAAAATTACTATTACATTAAATTAATATATTTTGTCTAAGAATAAGAAATATTCAAGATTTAAAATTAGATCAATTATTTTGACTTCTGTTTGTAAATGAGTAGTTAAATTTTAAGGGTAATGTCACTGGCACTGAAGAAATTGATTTGCATCATGGATATGACTAATGAAACAGTAGGTGATGCTTATTCTGATATGCTGATTGTTGAGTCTGTACTTTGTGAACGAGGATGGAGCATAAGTGATTGGTATAAAACATACTCTGAATTGCCAAATCGTCTAACAAAAGTTACTGTTAAGGTAATGAATGTGAATCAGATTGTTTAATTAATTGTTAATTAATTGTATATGTGAAATATTATTAGGACAGAAATAAATTTGAAACTGGCGATGCTGAAAGAATATGTATCAAACCACTAGGCCTTCAAAGAATAATAGATTCTATTGTGTCAAAGTATTCTATGGGCAGATCATTTGTCAGGTAAAATATATTATGTTACATAATGGGTATTGGGTATATATTTTCTATAATTGTTTTGAATTAGATTAATATTTGGGTGTTATCTACAAGTTGACAGAAACTTTTTTTTTGTTATTCATTTTTATTGTTGTTAAAATAGAGATGGTAATGATTAGTAGCTAAATATTTAAATTGTTGAATATGRTATATCAGAGGTATTTAAAGTGTGCGTCACAGTTCCCAGGGGCKTCGCCAGAGTTTGCAAAGGGAGTCGCGTCTAAGCCCCAAACACTCACATCATACCTAGGTCTTGTATAATTATTATAAATATTATTTGCAATCATTATAGAAATGAAAACGACACATCTTAAGACACGACCATTTTAATTTTATTTCTAGTACTAGTCACTGTTATTATCACCCATGTAACATATTGGCCATATTGTATCCATGTGTTGTTTCAATTTTTTCATAATGATTTGGGAGCCGTCAAAATATTATGTACATCCAAAGAAGCCACGGGATGAAAAAGTTTGAACACCTYTGTGAYATATGGTAGAACCTTGATTATCCGAATCTCCATTATACAAACCYTCTATTATCCAAACTATAATAAGCGTATTCAAACATAAAAACTCGTATCTGACTGGTTTMTCRAATTTATCATAACTCTCGCTTTTGGCTTATTATTAGGGGCAGTCCATTTTCAACCAAATTTAAAATAGTTCGATTTCATTTTCAACCAAATTTGTACCTTCC